CAATATCAGCTGTGAAAACTAGGCCAGGAGCTGATTGTGGAACAGACCACCAACTACTCATATGCAAATTCAAGCTAAAGCTGAGGAAATTTAAACCAAATCCAAGGCAACCAAAATATGACTTTGAGTCTATCCCACCTGAATAGACATATAGTAAGTTTTATATTTTTATATACACTGGAACTGAAAATTCATAAGTAATTTATAATTCTGTTTACTGCAATTCTGATTTTTTTAGATATATCAGGATTCAATTTAATAAAAGCATAAAATACAGCAGAAAAACCAAAGTGAAATAAATCTAAAGGAATTCTATATTTTAAGTTCTAACTATAATTTAGACTAATGAAATGTTAGATTTTTCAGAGTTAAAGAGAAGTCAAGATTAAAACCACCGTAAGAGTTACAATGTTTAAATTCTTTTCAAGCTTCTTCAGTATATGCCAAATAGATTTTTTTAATGACAAAGAGGCTATAGCATCTTTAAGTTTCTTTTACCCCTCCAATACCTCTACTTTATTTAGTTATTGATAATTTCATCAGTTTATCATTAAAATGCATTAATTTATTTTTACAATATGCTTACTTTATTAGGGAATCAGAAACTTTGTACAGAAGGGAAGGGAGACAGTCAAATGTTAATAGTTGCAGTCTAATATTGGTGGTGGGTTGTTTTTACTTTTAATTTATTTGTGAACTGATTATTTCCCCTAGCCCATCTTCACCTCTCTGCTCCCACCTGTCAGTTTGAAATTGCAGTGATTTATATATTGTTACTAAACTGGAAGCTGTTAACAAAAATGCCTGTAATTTGCTTCCACAACTTTATGAATCACCACAGAACACTGGGGGACATTGAGACCACTAAAGTTGAGGATAAACCGTGTTAATGAACATTCTCATGATAGATGGCCACAGTATCTACATTAATGGACTTGAACGTGCCTGTAAGTGCAAGAATACAATTGAAGTTGACTCTGGCAGTTATCTATGATACTATTTTTATTGTTATGATTATGTCATTAACCCTAAAGTCTTTTAGTAATTTGCTCTTATATTTGTAATTGAATCAAATCTAATCACTTTTTAACAGCAGCTTTCGTTTTCTCTTTCCCTACCATTGCTATAGCTAAGTTCCTATATTCTCTCCCTTAGTCAATTTTTTCTTTGTACTAGATTTCATTATTCAGGGATACTTTAAAGTATAATCATAGATGATTTATACTGTAAGTTATTTCATGTTTCTACCTCAATGACAAATCAACCATTAAAATACTAAATCATATTTGTTATCATCTATGCAAATAATTTTCTTTTTTGATGCCTCCTGATTAATCCTATCTTATCTTTTTTTAATGCTTTATTGCTTTGTTGAGAATATACACATAAAACCACATGCAACTCAACTGTTTCTACTTTATGGTCAATCTTTAAATTATGAAACCAGTCGCAGAATCCTTCCCTGAGTTATTCCTTTCACATTAACATAAATTCACTGCCTACTAAGTTTTCTATGAATCCTTTGAATTGCTAAGGTCAATTTTGTCCCAGAAACTATTATTTTTAAGAAGCAAAATATTCAAGACAAATATTCTTTACTAATTAAAATAACCTACTGTTTGGTTTTAGAGACTCTGGAGGGTATTTTTGGTTTAAGTTTTAAAATTAACTCTCTTTATCACTGTTCTTTGACTACAATTCTGGTGAGCTCTGGTGCCTTAATGTTAAGAAACTGTACTGATATCCCAAAGGTATGCAGTTTGAATCTCCTAGCTATTCCACAGGATGAATATCAGCAAGCTCTTCCAGTGTCCTTAACTGCCTGTGAAAACCTGTGGGAGGGTCAGCTATGGTTCAGTTTTGACTCAAAGGTATGTAACAACAGCAACATTGTGTATGCTTTGATGTGTACTATCAGTTATTCTCATCTTTATATTTAATTGCGTCTTATTTCAAGTAAAAATATCTTTCTTTTAGGACTGCAGTCTTCAGTATGGACTGAGGCTCAATGTCAAGAAGACAAAGATTCTCACCACTGGACCAATTGGTAGCATCAGGATGGATGGCAGAGAGATTGAGTTTGTTCATAGCTTCAGTTTGCTCGGCCTCACAGTCAACACTCTTGGCACCAGCAGCCAGGAAACCAAAAACCATATTGCAATGGGAAAGTCTGCGGTTAGGGACCTCTCTAAAGTACTCAAGAGCAACAGTGTCTCTGGAGACTAAGATCCGCCTGATACAGGCCATAGTTTTTGCAATCACTTGTTTATGCATCAGAGAGTTGGCCAATGACTAGGAGGATAGAAGGAGAATTGACACCTTTGAGCAGTGGTGCTGGAGAAGAGTACTGAGTGTACCATGGACTGCCAAGAAAACAAACAGATTCATCCTAGAGAGGGTTAAACCAGGCTACTCCTTGGAGGCAAGGATTCTGGGGCTTCGTCTGACATACTTCGGACATGTTGTAAGGAGAGACAGGTCCTTGGAGAGGGACATCATGCTTAGTAGGGTGGAGGGACAGCGCAGGGGAAGACCCTCTATAAGGTGGATTGTTTCAGTGACTGGGGTAATTGGGATGGGTGTGTCAGAGGCAATGCGATTGGCACAGGATAGAGCAGGGTTTAGGACTGTTGTACATGAGGTTGTTCTGAGTCACAAACAACTGGAAGGCACATAACAACAACAACAACAACAGTACTAAATGCTCTTTTCTTCACTATTTCCTGGGTTCTTTACATATGCACATTCTCATTTGCATAGAATTCAATTCGTTTTCTCCACTCAGCACAATCCTCAGACCTCAAGAAACAAGTGTTTCTACTGATGCATATGCTGAGGTTCCAGTTGAGCAGGGGAACTTCCATCACCCTCTGTTCTTGCTTCCTAACCTCTATGATATTACAACTACTGGTTGCAATCCACTTCTTTCCTAGGAATTTCTCAAGGTTCTGGCTCCACAATTAAATGCAAGTAGCCTCAACTTTTTCTCCAGCACTATTTATAGTTCCTTTTTGACATCCACTTTTCAAAATTTATGGTCTAATGATGTTCTTACATTTCTTGATTAGTTGTTGCTAGAAAGTATTTTGCAATTAAAATTTATTGTTCATAATATTACCTTAAAAAAGCTTAGGACTCTGTGACAATCCTTCTTTGCACAACTTTTAAATGTCTGAGAAATATTTTAACTGTAAATTAATTCATAATTCAATTTTAATTGAACAAATCTATGGCTTACTATGCATCAGAATTAAATTAAGAGCATATAACAACACCACAGTTATATTTAAAAATTATGTATTTACTTATTAATAAATGTTTTCACTTAGTATTGTTTGTTATTTATGCTTCATTACATATCACATTCACATGGTAGGGATGTTTCAATAAAGTTCCTGAAAAGAAAGAATGTGTAGAAAATACTGCATAAAACTAAATGTATATGGATGGGGTAAAAATAAATAATAAATTTTAAAGAAGAAATAGAAAATATTTTTCTATCCAAGATTGATAAATAGCTTCATTCCAAAGGAAATAATCACACTGCATTTGTTAATGGGACTGACAGCAGGGTTGGACAGCGAAAAACTGGATAAATAATGTGCATTGCATTGTAACAGATGAGGGAGAGAACAGTTTAAAAGCAATATATGATAGGGTTATATGGTTATCACAAGAGTCCAGACTGAAGGTTGCATAGTAGAGTGTACTTGGGATGGGGGGTAGGACGGGAGGATTGTATACCAATGAAGGATTTTTTTTTTTTACTTTTCAAAGAGAAAAGCGAACTGGGGGGGTGCGGGGGGCAGGGAGAAAAGTGCAAAAATGAATGTACAGAAATCCAAAATCTTAAAAAAAAAAGAAATCCAAAATCTCTGTAAATGTTCATTAAAATTAATAAAATAAAAATTTTAGAAAGCCAAAAGACTCATCTTTTGTGAAAACAGAACTATACAGCACCCAGAAAAGACATACACAATGAGATAAATCAATTGCATCTATTGTAATTGAATAAAAAAATTGCTTTTAAATGTTTAATAAGAATAAAAATATTTAAATCTTATATATTTTATATTGCATACCCATTCCATGGTGATGATAGAGCATTGAGGTAACACCATCGAAGCGAAAACCATCAAAGCTATATTCTTCCAACCACCATCTTATGTTTGATAGAAGGAATCTTAAAACTTCCCAGCTAAAATATTAAGACACAGACATATTTAAGCACAAGGTAAGCAATGTATGTCTATATATTATACATCATATTTACTGGTGTAAACGATAGGGAATTGCGCTTTTAACCAAAAAGTTGTGCCTCTCTGGCAATTTGAATTAATAAACCATTTTATGAGAGAAAGATAGGCAGTGTTCTCCTGTGCAACTTACAGATTCAGATACCCCCTGGAGGGTCAGTTACAAGTTAGTTCTGCCCAAGAGCATTTAGTCATGTGTCAAAAGAACATTTATCAAATTATAAAGTACTTGAATCTTAAGAATCAAGGGATTCTAAGAAATACAGCACTGAGAAACAGAAAACTAGTAGGGAATACCTAATTTGTCTTCTGAAACGAATTTAAAAGGGATATTTATTAAATTTCATTTATTCACAAAAATTTAAATAATGCATCTGAGAAAAATTAAGAAACTAAAAACAATGTGTAAATCTGGCCTAAAGTACAGAAAGTGTTTCTTCTTCAATGCTATGTGCCCAGTAACCGCAATAGTTATTATTACATATTGTTGTAGTTTTATGTACTTTGAAGTCGGAACCCACCCATAGCTGACCCTCCAGCAGGTTTTCAGTGGCAGCTGATCACATCTCTCTCCTACATAGCAGCTAATGGATTAAAACCATATACCTCTGGATTGTCAGTGGAGCTCCTTATTACCACTAAATTGAAAATGGACTATAAACATACAGTTATATGACTTCCCTTTCAAGTAGATTTTAATTGTCAGTAGAAAATATACATTCAATGACTGTCTCCACATACTATGCTTTTATGCTATAATTTAAAAGAGAGATAACTTAAGATAAAAAGTAAAAGGGAAAAAATCAAATAACCTCATGATAAGCGACATTGTATTTATTAGGCTATGGTATGGAGAAAATGAAAACAAAACCTAATTATGAAAAAAAAACCCAAACAAACATGTTCTTAAACCGCATTACAAGTGAAACACTACTTGTATCCATGAAAACATAAAGCAAACAAAGAACAATACAACTAATTTTAAACCTCATACATACACAAAAGTTTATTTTGGACAACTGAAAATAGAGGCCACCATCTATTAGTATTTTATGTAGTCATATAGTTATGGTTGAGTTGTCTATCTTATCAAAACAATGTTTTTATTACCTTAATACTTCACTTAGTTTAATGATTCAGTTGTATAATGTATACAAATCTTTAACTCAGTTCAAATTTATGTATATTTTTAAATCCTCTATATATTAAAGAGCAATTTCACATAAGCAGAGATTACGTTATCACCATTAGCTCTGGAATTGTAAATCTAAACTGCTTTAGATTATTTTGCATCTTGAAAATTATAAGTTAAAAATAGGTTATTTTGCATTATGAAAACTTACCAAAAGTTTAAAAATCAACAAAAACACAAACACAAGCAAGCAAGCAACCAAGCTGATGTGAAAAGAAGACCTAGAAGGTTCCTGATAGTAACACACAATGATGGAGGGAGACATTGCTAACGACTTTATTAACTCCTACTTATGTCAGACTCAAGGGAAAAGCTGTTTAGTAAAAATAAATTATTACATAAATAAATATAATAAAAGAACAATTTTATTATTTATCAAGAACAGTAACTTTGGCATAGTAGTCTCAATGTCTATACTTTTAAAATAAGATTGCTATATATTTCAGAAAGAAAACACGGATAAATTGGCATGCTTTCATAGCAATACTTCTTGGAAACAATGTTGTGAAGATGATACAGATATTTTATCATTTGGTCATCTGACTAAAAATGCATATTATACTGTTAGAAGTATTTTAAATAAAGCATTGGAAAGCTTTATTTTTTCTCAAGTTTTTTATAATATGTAAACATACAAATTATTATGCACACTTGCTTAATCATTTTATTTTATATATGAAATGTGTATCATGGGGTCTCAAGACAACTCCTACATTCAGTCTTTCAAGAGTCAGAGTTAGACTCAGTACATCATTCTGTTCATGACTCCAGCAAGAAAGACAGACAAAAAGATAGATCTCAAAAATCAGAAAATAAAAAGATGTAAGGGGCTAATGCCAGAGAAAGCCAGAGACAATCTCTGACAATTTCTCTCCCATTGGAATCACGTAGAACAACCTCAATTCCTCTGGCAATGAGCTGTCAAAACACTTGTGAAATTTGGCCTGGCAGTAAAACATACTGCAGACTAAATTCTCAAGGTTTTCACTGAAAATATGTTACATAAACACCCTGTATAACCCTACGTATCAAAATTTCATATACTCAAAAAAAGGGAAAAAAAGACATTTGATATAAACCACATTGTTTAAAGAAAGATTTTAGATAAAATGAGTCAGTCTTATCACTTCTGCTGTTGGTAGTAATCTTTTAGAAGCCCAAATCCCTCCATTTAGCCAATCTAGTGGGCAAGGCTTTCTAAGGATAACAATCTATTTCAGAGTCTCAGGAACATACTGCTAGAAATTTCATCAACAAAAGTGGAAGTTAACTTTTATTATAGCATAATGAATTGCTTAGGTAGCTATGGTGACTTAATGGCTGCAGAGTTGTGCTGTAAACCTAAAGGAAGGTGTTTCTAATCTCCTCCCATGTCATTTCTAGTCTCTTAAAACTTGCTAAAGGGGTCAGCTATGGTTCTATGATTACACACACACACACACACACACACACACACACACACATATTATTGCTGCTGAGTGCTGTTGAGTCAGAGCTAATTTGTAGCTGACCAAGATTTTGGAGGCAGTAAATCACACAGAGGAGACTTTCGGTCTTTTCCCTATGTAGTAGATTAGATGGTGGATTTGAACCGTGTGCCTTTACATTGCACTGTATCTTTTTACCACTGTTGTTATTGTGTACTGTCAAGTCAGAAACTGACACACAGCTGACCCTACAGCGGGTTTTCAGAGGCAGTCAATTGCACAACAGGAAATTTTTCATCTTTCTCCCATGAAGCAGCTAGTGGCCTCAAACTGTGTGCCTTCTGGATTGTAGCATAGCTTTTGCACTAAGCCACCAGAGCTCCTTTAACCACTAAGCCAATATGTGTGTGTGTGTGTGTGTGTTTGTGTGTGTGTGTATAACTTTTTATAGAATAATACAGAAAACAAGCAAAATGAAAACTTGTTGTAATTTTATTGCAGAAGCATGCAGATCTCAAAACAAAGTGGAAAAAAAAAAAGTGAAAAAATCCTAACCACACATTAAAAATCTAAATGCCAAAGATTCTTTGGCAGAGGTAAACTGTTCTGTACTCTGTTCTCCAGAAATTATTTGGTCAATGAAAATGCTAATTTCACACACAAAGGAACTATTTCACTCAATCTAACATGTATTTCTTAGAAAGAACTCCAGTGCAAGCTTAAAGGAAATGTTACCAGTTATAAAAAGAGCAAGGACTACCTGGGGATGGCCATGTCTGACTTTTACCAACTTCACAACAGCTAATTGTTCCCATCAGCAGCATCAACAGCACAAAACCAATTCCCGTGTGGTCAAATATGTCCCCTAAGCTTCTACACCTCTTTCTACTCATCTTAACCCCAATCTCAGTGTTTTATTGTGTCCAAAATCTCATACAAAAGCTCACACACCACACAGAACCATATATAGCAAGTCAAGACCCTATAATTCAGATTAGCAGAAGAATACATTCCGGACACATTCTGAAATGTGCTTGCAGGCACTTCTGCTTTAATCCGTGTAGCTTTAGGTCAGGGTTACCCTGATGTTGTTCCCATAGGCCCTCTTGCTTGCTGTTTTCTTGATGGGAAGATTGTCTTTCTGCTGCTGGATCTGCTCTACTTAATAGCAAGCCTAGCCAATTTCCTTGTGGATTGGTGAGACTTGAGGATAGGCTAACATGCCCTATTCACATATCCCCACTAACCCACACAGCAAAGAAAAACAATGGCTAGGAAAGTAATTTTGAATAAACCCTTAACTTCACAGCAGTGAAAAATGGAGATTTCTGATAGACGCCTATAATAATTTCTATTATCATAATGTTTAAACACATTACTTATATGTTCTGAATTTTCTTTTTGTGGTAAATTAAGCTGAAGAGAAGTTATGATGGATTCAGAAGTACAAGTGAGTGAGAAATCTTGCACAGTGTTCTCTGTGCTAATAAATGAATGGAATCATCTTAAGTGAATGGTTTACCTTGAGTCAAAGTGTGAAAATATCTGGCAAAGAGTACAATAAAAAAAAATTACATTTTTTCACACCAAAATGTCATCAGAGAGATCATAACACAGTTAATATAGTCAGTTTATGAGGGTACCATAACAATAAAAAGCAGAATTTAAGAGCAGATTTTTACTTTGATGTATCTCAACAGAAAGAAGTAGATTGATTTTAGAGGTTATTTCATTTATCTAAGGATTTTTAAATATTATTTTCATAAACCAAAAAGAACCAAGTTTGCAAAAATTGCAGAAGCTAGATGCTAACTTTTGAACTGTAATTTATACATACATATATATATGTATGTAGGGTAGCTCTAGTGGTTTACTGGTAAGGACTTGTGCTGTCAACCTATCAGTTACGCCACAGGGAAAAGAGAAGCAATTGCTTCACACTTAATTTATAACTTCCAAAAATTTGTTTAAAGGCTAGCTATAAGTTGTTTTCAACTTAATGGTACATAACAGCAACATATGTATATATAATGTATAATAATATATAATACATATGCAGGAGTAGCATCCACTTCCTAAACAACGTGCTTCCTAAAACTCTGTGAACTTCAATAAATGCTGATATTTGTAGAGGAGCTTCAGACCTTTTGTTCATAGGGTCATTCTGATTTGTACTCGACTCGAAGACAGTAAACAATGACAACATATTCGTATATACATAAAACAAAATTAATGACTTTTACAAAAATATTGAAAATTATCACCAAGTAAAAATGTGAAGAATTTATCTATCAACTTAATTTTAATTAAACTGACCAAATTA